TACCAAAAAGTAGTATACTTCAAGTTTATTTTTGTAAGTATACTTAAGTAAAGTTCAAGTATATTTAAGTATACTTTATGTAATAAGTGTGCTATTTCAATACTCCTTGGGACTAAATTGGCCCACTTTCTCTAGTATATAAAAGTATACTAAGTATAACAGTAGTAAACTTTGAGTAGACAACTAGTTTACATCAATATGTTTAGCTTGTACTGAAACTATACTAAAAGTGAACTTATAGGTATACTGAGTTTGATTTGAAGTAGTCTCAGTAAACTACTAGTTTAGTAGTTTTATACTGCAAGTATACTCGTAAGTTTTCTTTAAGTGAACTTTACATCATACTTTAAGTATACTACTATGTCCCTATTTAGGTATTAATTTGTATATATTTTGTTATATGAATATCTGAACATACAAAACATCAAAAGAACAGGGTATCTGCTTGTAAACAAAAACATTTTATTCTAGCTTCATGCATTATTTTTTTAAACACTTGAATGTGGGTAAGTTTCATAAATAAAAAATAAAGAAATAAACAACATTTTGAACAAAAAGCTGAAAAAAGACTATGAATTGGATTCAGAATGATAATCAAGACGTAGATAAAGTCGATCAACACCCCAAAGCTTGAGTCATTATTATCTCTTCATTGGTCGACATTTTATTCCATAAGGTTACACAGTTTTGATGCTGTTTTATGTCTGATGATCGTGTTAGAATACATGTGGAAGCATCTGTTGTTTCGGTTTCTTCTTCACTTGTGTTTTTTGGAAATTCTGTACAGAAGATGTGTACTAGTGCCCTCTACAGTATAACAACGAAAACACGGATTCTAGGAGCTCAAGCACTAGTATAGCTCAAATATATTTAGACTTTTTCCTCAGTATTAGTCAAGTATACTTAATTGTCATTTTAGTATATTTCTGAGAAGTACATAAAGCCCATTTCTGAGAAGTACATAAAAAAGTAGACTAAAAGTATACTTTTCCTATTTTTAGTTTAAAAGAAGTATACTAACAGCACACTTGAATAAACTTCTTTTTCGTAAGGGAAATCGTGATGATTAACCGTGTGAAGTGAAGTCAGGACACTTACGGAAAACTGGAAAAGGAGAGCTGCCTTTCAGAGCGTGAAACTCCTGCTCCAGTCTCCGCCGTAAATCTATCTGTTCAAGGAGAACTTTCTGGAGTTCCTCTGAAGGACAGATTACACGATAAATCAAGATCAGACGCTGAGCTGTGCCCGAAATTTCAACTATTACATCTAGAACAGTTACAAAAATGTGTTTTAAACATGTTCAAAAGTTTGGGTTCAGTAGGAGTTTTTAACGTTTTCAAAAGAAGTCTCTTCTGCTCACCAAGGCTGCATTTATTTGTTTTTTAAAAATACAGTAAAATCAGTAAAATTGTGAAATATTATTACTATTTATAATACCCGTTTCGCTTTTTAATATTTTGTAAAATACAATTTATTCCTGTGATCAAAGCTGAATTTTCAGCATCATTCCTCCAGTCTTCAGTGTCACATGATCATCAAATATGCTGCAAACATTTCTTATTATTATCCATGTTGAAAACAGTTGCACAGCTTTAATTAATATAAGGTTCAAAAGAACAGCATTTATTTCAAATCAAAAGTATTAATTTCTTTCAATGACCTCAAACCTTTCAACGATAAAGTCTTTGCTTGTCATCTCACCTTTTTCCATGTTCTCAAGATCCTTCTTGAGCGATACGGGAGGGTTCGAGTCTTGACTTTGGTCTGCTGAGCAGAAATAAGACGATTTTTAGAAAAACTTTGAAGGTTTATAAGGCACTGCAAGCATCCAGTCGTGTCAGTTCTATAGAGTTCATATTAAAGACTGACACACATCATGTAGTTCTAACAGCAACCAGCAGAAGTCAGTCTAACAACAGGATATTTCAGACAAACATATTTGACTAAGTGAAATACTAAATATAATGCTATTTTGCTGGGGTGAGGAAATGGTATTCATATATCATGAATATGGTATGGCTGCATATTTACTGTCAATACATTATACAATGAAAATAATATAATATATATCTGACTCCACTAACTCACTCTACAAAATATCTGATTAGTGCATTCAAATGCATTCATTGGAAAAGCCCTTACAATATTCCAATATCCTCAAATTGTATATATATATGTGTGTGTGTGTGTGTGTGTGTATATATATATATACTTAATACTTAAGTGTCCTGTGGTGTAAAAACGTATAATGCATGGAAAAATCACATTACAGTTTCCAAATCTGCAACATTGCAACAACATTCACTTTACATTAATTTCTCACCTGAGATGGTGCTTTTGTTTTTGCTTGCATATGCCGGCAGCCCATCGTCTCTGCTCTTGTGAGCCTGCAACCATAAAACACCAGCGATGTCTGATTAGAACTGATTCATAACATCAGGCCAAAGGTTGAACATAGAGCAACAAAATATATCAGTCAGCCAAAAGCACAGAATTGATTAGCCTTGAGAATGACAACGCAGTTATGTTTTATATATGTTTCATGCTACTGAGTTCCTTTATATAAATCAACGCACCAGCGACGTGTGTATGTGTGTGCTAAGGCTAATTGCTAAAGAATTCCCATTTCGATTCCTGTTGGTCTTCCCGATCTGTCTGTTAATGTAGCGTCAGAGGGTTAAAGATTAAAAGGGCTAATAGGCAGAAGTGACAAAGGGGAGCAAACATAATGTCGCCATTAAACAAAACACGACTGGGCTTATTAGGAGGGATCAAAGAGCTCTGAATATTTCATTTCTGCAGGGAACACAGGCTATCAATCTTGTTATGCATATGGACCCTGCCAGCCAATGGCCCGCATTTAAATAATTAGTTAAAGTGCCTGGAGGGAATATTTACATTTCTGTACACGGCGCTTTCCTCCAGCGAGCCGTGAACGGGGCTGGGGACTTTGAGGATGGTGGGCGGACTGACAGCGAGGCCGGGTTTGTCCTCTGCTGAGGTCTCGGCAGGAACGGTTGGGAAGGAGGGTTGTTCTTTGGCCTGATCCCCCGTGCTGCTGTCGGGAAGCCCGCGCATGTGCAGGGGCGTCTGCGCCGCACGGCTGATGAAGTCCTCCTGTTCCTCGTCCTGTTTCGTCTCCACGTCCACTTCCTGCTCCTCGTCGCTTTCACCGCTGTCGCTCTGGTAGCTGCAGCTGGTGCCAGGAGAAAGGTGCCTCTCCGGCCCAAAGTCCTCCAGGCTGCCATGGAGCTTGGCAATGCTTTCTGTGTCTTTGACCACTGGCCGGAATGCGGAGTGGTAACTGGCCTTGCGGGCTTGCAGCGAAGGAGTGTCTAGCAACTTTAGCCAGCCCTCCGGGGCGGGGCGGAGGTCGGAGGTCACGGGCGGACAGTCACGCTCAAACAGCCCGGATCTGGGGTTCGTTTCCAAGCTGGCATTGCCCTGTTCAGACAGATCCAAAAAGGCTTGTCTGAGAGACGAACTCTCTGTGAGGGAGGAAAGGGCATTGGTTTGGGGTTGGAGGTAAGTGGGCACCGGAATACCACCAGTTGCCCTCGGAGGCCAGAACATGCAGAAGGGTGGGTAAAAAGCATCCTTGCGGCCGGGCCAAAGGAGCCCTGAGAGGCCACTGTTTTTCTGTCCGTTGGTTGCCTCGCTGTCGTCCTTCTTCTGCGGGCACAAGCCGAATGCTGGGAAGGTGTAGGGGCTGGGGAATAGTGACGTTGTTGGGAACTTCTGCAACATCCCGAAACCTTTGCTCGGGACCGGAATGACCGGGTAACTGCGGGGGGCCTTTCGGGGCGAGAGGCTGTTGGTGTCCAACTCATCATCGTCCTCGTACCGGCTTCTCTTCTGGGCCAGTTCCGGAGAAATCATGTGGGGCAGAACTGAGTTCATGGCCTTGACAGAGCCCATGGGCGAGCAGTTAGAGGACGGAAGCGCCCTCTTGCGACTTCCTCCATTGAACATGGCTTTTACGTCCTCCCAGGCAAACAACAGGTCCTCCGGTGACGTTTTGTCTGTCAGTTTAAGGTGCCGACGCCAGGAGTTGAAGTTGGCAGCGTCCGGCTGCGTGTACTTGGCCTCGGGTGTGCGGTGCGAGTGGAAGATGAATTTGTTTGGGGAGAAGTACATATTACAGTAGGAGCACTTGATGCATTTGGCCCGGGAGCTGTTGTAGCGCGCCGGGATGAAACTTCCCCGGGAGCCCCAAGCGCATTCATGCGTCACGTCGAACGCAAAGTTGTCTGGCAGCTTGGGTGGGGAATTCTCACCCAGGAAAGATTTGCAAAGTCGCTCTGCTTCCCGTTTGGTGATCATGCCGCAGCGGCGGGAGGAAATGGGCATGGCGCCCGCCCGCCGGAGGATCTCCAGCTGGACCGGGGTGCACTGCACACAGGTGATGCCCAGAGCCACTCGACGATTGTGGATCTCATTGTAGCTGAAGTTCTTTAACAGGGTATTGGATATCTGAGCCAGGCATAACCGCTCTTGATTGTCAATCACCAGCGAGACAATAGGCACCCCGTAGAGGATGACATGACCAACTTGGTTGGGCTTAAGAGAGGATCTTGGAGGCGTGAGCGGCTCCTGCTGAAATGAACTCGGTGGGGTGGCCATCACAATGTCTTTTGGTCCAGGCAGAAGACTCTTTTCCATTCTTGAGAGACCACTGAATGCAGATGTTTGTCTGTAAACACATTTAAAAGGTTAATTTAGCAATAAAAACAATGTAAAAAATCAGAGAAGGGATTTAGTTGCATTGTTTTATTTATGAACAGTATAAAGAATATTACTCTGATGATAGTTATTACCAGATGTGGCATAGTTATTAAACAGAAAACAGAATTTTATTTGACAACACTAAAAAATTGAGAATTTAACAACTAGCACAATTACTCTAAAGCTTTTTTCACATGTCAGACGCGCATTGTTTGTAGATCAGAATATGATGCGGGGGAAATAAAAACTCATTTAAAGAACCAGACAAAATGAGGATGATGAATTAAAACCCATTTAAAGAACGAGAGAAAATAAAGATGCAATTCAATATGATCGCAAATTGAAGAAAATGAATATATATTTAATAAAAAAAATTAATTAAGAACTAAATCAGTGTGCCAGCAAAATGCAATTATTAATTTTATTCCTTAAAGACTCTGAAGCACGAGCACCTTTTTCCTGTGTAAAAATGCAAAAAGAAAAGGAGTGTAATAATTCTAATTCTGCGTAATTACTTTACAATATTTTAATGACTTTGTGTTGGGAAATAACAATGTAGAGAAATTTGCAGACGGTTCAAGCTGATTTTCCTCTAGAATATAAGTCGGCCTCACAGTTATGTTCCGACTTTTTCATACAGAATATAGAACGCCGCTTTTTTAGGTTTAGGTAATGTATCATACAGTAGCCCAATATTAGCCAAATGATAATAATAATAATAACAGGCTAATAATAATTTACCATAAAAATAAAAACAAAATACAAATGTCTCCCCACTTTCACTTTTTCGCCGTTTCACTCTGAAAGCAAGTCACTTTAAATGCCTAAAACCTAATCAAAAACAATCATTTTTAGACGGACTCGGAGACGATTAAAAGTTTGTATTGTTCTTACCTCCGCGCGCTGTCGGAGATGTCCAAACGCTACAGAATTCAAATCATGTCGCAGCCTATCCCACAAACGAAATGAAAAATTCGCCTTCAAAAACTATCAGCGAGAGCGCGAACTTTATAAATACAAGCACGATAAATGCCCAATATCACAACAGGCTCCTGTATCGGGTCCAGCATCGGTAGTAACAGCAGAGAAAGCGCGAATAAGCGCGCGTCTCACACACGGGCTCTTATTGCCGGAGCGCGTTGTGAGTGATTGGCGTGGCTCTGCCCCTCTGAAGAGCCAATGACGCTTCACTGACTGCCACTCAAACACACTAAAGAGACGCTCCGCCAGGAGCCGCAGGGCGATGCCGCGCCGCGCCGCGCCGCGCGCCTGGGGTTCAACTCTGAATTAGGGGAAAAAAACACCCGAGAACCAGCCGTGTGCAATCGGTGTAATAGCATGAGAAGAAGAGAAATTGCTTCATAAATAAATTGTGTTACTTAAAAACATTAACGCCGAAAATATGTAGCCTAAATCCAAACGCTACAGAATTCAAATCATGTCGCAGCCTATCCCACAAACGAAATGAAAAATTCGCCTTCAAAAACTATCAGCGAGAGCGCGAACTTTATAAATACAAGCACGATAAATGCCCAATATCACAACAGGCTCCTGTATCGGGTCCAGCATCGGTAGTAACAGCAGAGAAAGCGCGAATAAGCGCGCGTCTCACACACGGGCTCTTATTGCCGGAGCGCGTTGTGAGTGATTGGCGTGGCTCTGCCCCTCTGAAGAGCCAATGACGCTTCACTGACTGCCACTCAAACACACTAAAGAGACGCTCCGCCAGGAGCCGCAGGGCGATGCCGCCTGGGGTTCAACTCTGAATTAGGGGAAAAAACACCCGAGAACCAGCCGTGTGCAATCGGTGTAATAGCATGAGAAGAAGAGAAATTGCTTCATAAATAAATTGTGTTACTTAAAAACATTAACGCCGAAAATATGTAGCCTAAGCTAAAAACAAATTCCCACATTTAGGCTAATAGAGGTTAATCGCACGTTATTTGTATAGGTTTTATTAAAACCCGAAACTAATTGTAAACCTAATTTATTATACTGATAGGATGATGTAAAATAATAGGTTTGATTCCAAATGTAATGTTTTTGGTCGATTTCTTCGAATAGGCTACGACGTTTGCTGCTTTGAGCATCCAATCCCACTGTTTTTCAAAGTCGTAAAAGCAGCTCAATCTAGTCACCAAACATATTTTAAGCGTAAAGGGCAGTCAGGTAGGCCTAGCTTTTATTAATGCGTTAAAATTTCGTTATCGACATCTGCATCGCCACACACTGAAACTGTCCAAACTGTCCTGAGCCAATTTCCACGCGTTCATAAATCAAGCGAAAGGGGACAAATGTCGGGCATGTCATTTTTGCCTCATTATGAGGGCTGTACGCACTGAATCGACCACCACTGAGAATAAAACGAATCGCTTGATGCCGATGACACGTTGTCCGACAAACTGTCGCATCAATAACATTTCTATAATAGCAGTGCACTATTGATCCGAATTTGAAAAATGTTAAAATTATGTTTTTTCTACAGTAGAAAAAGGTCTTCGCTACAAAGACTCTGCATGGTTTTTATTTTAAACGTCGGCATTACGAGCTATTATAAAGATGCCGATGACATTGCACGTAATTATAATAGCAATATTGGGCTTTATTGTGACGTTTTCATTTTGCCCTGATAATAGAATTAGTACAAAAGGTCAAGTGTTTTGAAAAGCAAAGTCCAATTGACAGGAAAGATAGGGTCCCATCTGCAGCCCCCTAAACCTCATTTAGATCCCATCCCGCTGGCTTTTGTCTCCCAATTGCCAAAGAGCACATCATACGACCCTTCATCCCATTACAGGAATATGAAAAAATATATATGATATACACACTTCAAATTAATTGGTAACACAGTAGAATAACGCTCATAAAGCTTTTAAATAAAATAAAAAAACATTACCTCACATAAGCTTCAATAACTGTAATATTAAAATGCCATACGACTTTGGTTGGTATTTCATGTGTATTCATATTTTAATTTATATCAGCTACATATGTATTGTATGTCTTATTAGCACTGTCATATGCCCACAAAGTGAAAAAACTGCTCTATTATTCTAATTATAACACAGACCAGCTATTGAAAAGGTGTATGTTTATTAAACCGCTGATGATGGCAACTATTCAGTTAACATGCAGGCCTTCAATCATAGTTCATAGTGCATTGAACTTCATCTGTTAACCCTACTGTGAAATTAATCATGCGTTTAAAAAATGACTTATGCGACCTGCCGGGGTCAATAGCTACAAGAATAGGACATTACACACCAAATCCATCATCTAACCAAATATACCTCAGGCAAACTGTAGTGTTTTACAAGCAAATGAAACGTCTTCACTTTCCAAAGCAGGTTTACTTAAAAGAATCCGTCTCTCTTTTCCTGGCTGTAAAGATTCCTCTCTGACCTATAATTGTCATGAACAGAAAGTCCCACAGTACACTGCGGTCTAAATAGGCCTAAGTACACTGTCCTACATTATAATCCTTATTCAATGCTGGAGGTCTATCAGGAAATTGCAAGACTAAATGCCGGTTCGTCTGTTAAGACTTATCAAGCAATACCATTTAAATACAATCTCATCAGACGTAAAGCATTCGTAGATGTTTGGTCTTGATTGCAGACATGCATGAAATGCATGAAATTGTTACTTGCATATAGTTCAATATGCTGACTTCCAGTAGTCTATAATGGACACCGTATATATTATTGCTGTAAGGTAATCAGACTCCTTGCATGGTTTGATTGAACAGTGATACAGAAGACAGTATCAGACAGGTAAATAGGGCTAGAAGTCGATACAGTGTGGTGCCACCCACAGACTTTATGGAATTGTGAAATATGCATCATTTAATTCAATTTTAAAGGTGCACTAATCAGTAAACAAGGAATTAGAGATTAATTCTCTTTAGTTTAGACAGATGCAAATGAGTGTTTTAATTAATTGAAACATTCCTCAAATGTAACAATTAAAAATGAATATCTATGACTAAACAATAATTCTGTTCAAATAAGATATTTAGCATCAGTGTATGGTGGTGCACACACCTTATCCAGAGCTCAGGAGAAATGTGTTTTCTAGCTGTTTTCAGCTCAGCTTCAGTCAATCCTGAAACGGTCAGAAACATATTTTAGCCTTGAACAGTCATAAATTACAGATTTTTGAGTGTCCTTCACGGCTCAGGAGAGCTTGATTGATAGCTTCATTCGTGTTCATGAAATTATAATAATCTTTTGTAACACTAGTAGTGACCTTACCCCATATAGTAATATTTACGAGAATATTTAGGATAATTTCTGGTTGAAATCAACGGCATGTGAAATTAAAACGATGAACCACTTTATAACAGTCTTAAGCTCCTCCCATTCATTGAAAAAATGCAAAAAGAAAAGGAGTGTAATAATTCTAATTCTGCGTAATTACTTTACAATATTTTAATGACTTTGTGTTGGGAAATAACAATGTAGAGAAATTTGCAGACGGTTCAAGCTGATTTTCCTCTAGAATATAAGTCGGCCTCACAGTTATGTTCCGACTTTTTCATACAGAATATAGAACGCCGCTTTTTTAGGTTTAGGTAATGTATCATACAGTAGCCCAATATTAGCCAAATGATAATAATAATAATAACAGGCTAATAATAATTTACCATAAAAATAAAAACAAAATACAAATGTCTCCCCACTTTCACTTTTTCGCCGTTTCACTCTGAAAGCAAGTCACTTTAAATGCCTAAAACCTAATCAAAAACAATCATTTTTAGACGGACTCGGAGACGATTAAAAGTTTGTATTGTTCTTACCTCCGCGCGCTGTCGGAGATGTCCAAACGCTACAGAATTCAAATCATGTCGCAGCCTATCCCACAAACGAAATGAAAAATTCGCCTTCAAAAACTATCAGCGAGAGCGCGAACTTTATAAATACAAGCACGATAAATGCCCAATATCACAACAGGCTCCTGTATCGGGTCCAGCATCGGTAGTAACAGCAGAGAAAGCGCGAATAAGCGCGCGTCTCACACACGGGCTCTTATTGCCGGAGCGCGTTGTGAGTGATTGGCGTGGCTCTGCCCCTCTGAAGAGCCAATGACGCTTCACTGACTGCCACTCAAACACACTAAAGAGACGCTCCGCCAGGAGCCGCAGGGCGATGCCGCGCCGCGCCGCGCCGCGCGCCTGGGGTTCAACTCTGAATTAGGGGAAAAAAACACCCGAGAACCAGCCGTGTGCAATCGGTGTAATAGCATGAGAAGAAGAGAAATTGCTTCATAAATAAATTGTGTTACTTAAAAACATTAACGCCGAAAATATGTAGCCTAAACTAAAAACAAATTCCCACATTTAGGCTAATAGAGGTTAATCGCACGTTATTTGTATAGGTTTTATTAAAACCCGAAACTAATTGTAAACCTAATTTATTATACTGATAGGATGATGTAAAATAATAGGTTTGATTCCAAATGTAATGTTTTTGGTCGATTTCTTCGAATAGGCTACGACGTTTGCTGCTTTGAGCATCCAATCCCACTGTTTTTCAAAGTCGTAAAAGCAGCTCAATCTAGTCACCAAACATATTTTAAGCGTAAAGGGCAGTCAGGTAGGCCTAGCTTTTATTAATGCGTTAAAATTTCGTTATCGACATCTGCATCGCCACACACTGAAACTGTCCAAACTGTCCTGAGCCAATTTCCACGCGTTCATAAATCAAGCGAAAGGGGACAAATGTCGGGCATGTCATTTTTGCCTCATTATGAGGGCTGTACGCACTGAATCGACCACCACTGAGAATAAAACGAATCGCTTGATGCCGATGACACGTTGTCCGACAAACTGTCGCATCAATAACATTTCTATAATAGCAGTGCACTATTGATCCGAATTTGAAAAATGTTAAAATTATGTTTTTTCTACAGTAGAAAAAGGTCTTCGCTACAAAGACTCTGCATGGTTTTTATTTTAAACGTCGGCATTACGAGCTATTATAAAGATGCCGATGACATTGCACGTAATTATAATAGCAATATTGGGCTTTATTGTGACGTTTTCATTTTGCCCTGATAATAGAATTAGTACAAAAGGTCAAGTGTTTTGAAAAGCAAAGTCCAATTGACAGGAAAGATAGGGTCCCATCTGCAGCCCCCTAAACCTCATTTAGATCCCATCCCGCTGGCTTTTGTCTCCCAATTGCCAAAGAGCACATCATACGACCCTTCATCCCATTACAGGAATATGAAAAAATATATATGATATACACACTTCAAATTAATTGGTAACACAGTAGAATAACGCTCATAAAGCTTTTAAATAAAATAAAAAAACATTACCTCACATAAGCTTCAATAACTGTAATATTAAAATGCCATACGACTTTGGTTGGTATTTCATGTGTATTCATATTTTAATTTATATCAGCTACATATGTATTGTATGTCTTATTAGCACTGTCATATGCCCACAAAGTGAAAAAACTGCTCTATTATTCTAATTATAACACAGACCAGCTATTGAAAAGGTGTATGTTTATTAAACCGCTGATGATGGCAACTATTCAGTTAACATGCAGGCCTTCAATCATAGTTCATAGTGCATTGAACTTCATCTGTTAACCCTACTGTGAAATTAATCATGCGTTTAAAAAATGACTTATGTGACCTGTCGGGGTCAATACCTACAAGAATAGGACATTACACACCAAATCCATCATCTAACCAGATATACCTCAGGCAAACTGTAGTGTTTTACAAGCAAATGAAACGTCTTCACTTTCCAAAGCAGGTTTACTTAAAAGAATCCGTCTCTCTTTTCCTGGCTGTAAAGATTCCTCTCTGACCTATAATTGTCATGAACAGAAAGTCCCACAGTACACTGCGGTCTAAATAGGCCTAAGTACACTGTCCTACATTATAATCCTTATTCAATGCTGGAGGTCTATCAGGAAATTGCAAGACTAAATGCCGGTTCGTCTGTTAAGACTTATCAAGCAATACCATTTAAATACAATCTCATCAGACGTAAAGCATTCGTAGATGTTTGGTCTTGATTGCAGACATGCATGAAATGCATGAAATTGTTACTTGCATATAGTTCAATATGCTGACTTCCAGTAGTCTATAATGGACACCGTATATATTATTGCTGTAAGGTAATCAGACTCCTTGCATGGTTTGATTGAACAGTGATACAGAAGACAGTATCAGACAGGTAAATAGGGCTAGAAGTCGATACAGTGTGGTGCCACCCACAGACTTTATGGAATTGTGAAATATGCATCATTTAATTCAATTTTAAAGGTGCACTAATCAGTAAACAAGGAATTAGAGATTAATTCTCTTTAGTTTAGACAGATGCAAATGAGTGTTTTAATTAATTGAAACATTCCTCAAATGTAACAATTAAAAATGAATATCTATGACTAAACAATAATTCTGTTCAAATAAGATATTTAGCATCAGTGTATGGTGGTGCACACACCTTATCCAGAGCTCAGGAGAAATGTGTTTTCTAGCTGTTTTCAGCTCAGCTTCAGTCAATCCTGAAACGGTCAGAAACATATTTTAGCCTTGAACAGTCATAAATTACAGATTTTTGAGTGTCCTTCACGGCTCAGGAGAGCTTGATTGATAGCTTCATTCGTGTTCATGAAATTATAATAATCTTTTGTAACACTAGTAGTGACCTTACCCCATATAGTAATATTTACGAGAATATTTAGGATAATTTCTGGTTGAAATCAACGGCATGTGAAATTAAAACGATGAACCACTTTATAACAGTCTTAAGCTCCTCCCATTCATTGAATACTAAGGACGTTAGTAAAACATACGGGCCTAATTAAAAAAAAAATAAGGATATAATCTGAAAGTTTTGTTCTTAATAAGAATTTTTCGTTTTAAAAACTGATCCGACAAATAAATGCACGACAAAACAAGACAGTTGCCTTAATATAAACCTGCTGATATTATTGTATAGCGTAATATTAGACAGTTGAACATCTGTCCACCACTAATTGTCTACTAAAATGTAGACATTAATTATGAATGACCGTAAAATTAAACGAATGAATGAATATGGAATTACTATGACGGGGATTGATCTGAAAAACTGAAAACTAATAAATCCGAGTAGAGACGGCCGAAATGTTTTGTGGCAAGTTACGGAGGATGTTAAAACATTTTTCTTTTAGAATGCAATTTGTTACAAAACGATAAACATTCTTGAACTTCCAGACGAACGCGTGAGACGAAAAGTTCGGATCAAATCTTATGTTTTTATATGCTTTTTAAAACTATTTTAGAGATGACTTGGTCAAATGTTTTCATGCATGAATAAACACCCAGAAGACAGAAAATAGCATGCACATGAAATACTAACAGCTTTGATCATAACCCACAACTGATGTCGATCTTGTAGCCTACTTTTTTTTACATATAACGAACAAATAAGAAATTCAACGTAGGCTTATATAAAAGGCAAACGCAACTAGTCATTCAAGACATTGTTTTATATTTGACACAACTTTAAAAAGGCCTTCGGAAAGCTTCAGCTCTTACCTGACGCGCACCACGCTACAGCCGCGCTGATGCTCGCTCGAGGTGACGCGTCGCGCTTCTTGTCTTTTGTCAGATATTCCAAGTCAAAGCTTTAGCGATGCAGCTCTGTGCTGACAGTGAACTGATGCTGCTGTGCTCTACTGAATCACTCTGCGTCATGAAAGCACATATAAAGGCATCTGCTGTGCATTGCTCTCGTGCTCTGGAGACGAGCTTGAGAAATGTGCTCATCGCAGCCAGTGCTGATGAACTTCACATCCCAAACAATCTCAAAGAGGTGGGGCTCTTTACAGCATGAGGACATCGTGTTTGATCTGTCCCGTCTGAAAGTATTTCGTTTTTACAGATTGGTGACTGAATCTCGGTAATCTGAAAATTCTTGCCAATCTCGATGCGATCTGAAAACTTTATTCCTTTGTCATGAAGACTATTAGAACATAGAAAACAAAGGCATTAATCGCGTCTGCACACTCTCGGGAATTATACGTCTTTATGGAAAACTTTGAAATTGAGTTTGTCGCAGTCCCGGGGCTAGTTGTCACACTTTCTGAGGTTTGAAAGTCAAGTTCTGTATAGACACAACTCTAAAATCTTGAGGAAAAATGACTGATCTTTTCTGTTGACCTGCTCTGAAACACTGAGTACACTCTAAAAAAAAGGTTAAAAAGGGACAAACCCAGCTATTGGGTTGTTTTGACCCAGCTGTTGGGCGACTGACATATCGTCTAAATACATTCAAAGTATAATAATGTCAATGAGCCAAACATATTGCATGTTGAATTATATTGTGCGATTATCGTCATTGAGCGCTGTTCGGACAGTGAGAGGATACAAATGTCATAAAAATGGCACAGGGTGAATCAGTTAAGCAAAACATCCTAACCTCCACTTCCTTAATTACTATGCCGGTTGAGAGCCAGGCCTTTTATTGCCTTCATCATTAGCTCTTTCCAGCAGTCTAGGACAGGCTTCCTTTAAGGAGCTCATTGACTCATTGATCAGCTGGCATCACTCTCGGCCGGCCTGCAGCATGTGAATGGGCCCGATCCCGGCCTGTCTCTCTCTGACTCGTTAAGTGCTCTTTTTTCTCTTCCTCTCACCACTGACTTGTAAAGAGCTTTTAATGTGGCTATTAGTGGAAGTGAACAGGAAGCGTGTTGAAAACACGGCCCTTCATTATATAGGATGATAATCTGTTGCATAATCACCATTGTTTGGGCAAAGCAAGTTTGTCGTTAGTTGAGTAATCTGAGCAAAGATGAGGCTGAGAAGACAGGACGGCCAGGAATTGGTTGGGTCTTTCATGAATTAGCATACTGACATTGTATCATTTGACTGGATGTCATTTGATCATGAGTATCGTTATGTTTTCAAAATTAAAACCGGAGTTCTTTTTTCTTTAAACTGCAGAACTTTAATGGATGCAAACTCAGTCAAGACTTGTCTATATGTATAATACCGTTCAAAAGATGCTTTTGACAGAAATTATCGCTTTTAATTAGCATATTAGAGTCAGCATATTATAAAATCATGTGACACTGAAAATGTCACAGAATCACATAAATACATTTTATTTAATTTAAAATTGTAATAATATTTCACTTTTTTTTTTACAATATTTTTAATCAAATAAAAGCAGCTTTGGCGAGTATAATCTTTCCATCCTCAAACGTTTGCTAGTGTATGTACTGAAGGTAGTGTATGTGCTGAAACTGGGGCAACTTTCACTGATGAGAAGGGGTGTGTGAAGCATTAGTTGCAACCAATGATAAGCCACTTCTCTACAATCACTGTCAGAGCTGAATCCCATAAACCCCCACTTTACAAGCATATATGAACCAAGCAGGACATAGTGTGTACCATTTCTACAATACTGTGACACAGAAATGGAAGGTCAGTCTCGTGGAAGAGGGGTGAGGCTGCGGGGAGGAAGCGTAAGGGGACAAAACAGGGGAAGAGGAAGAGGAGGCCAAGTACATAGGCGGATCCCTGATGAAATCAGAGCTACAATTGTGGATCATGTTGTCAATCACGGCCTCACAATGGCTGAGGCTGGTCGAAGGGTGCAGCCAAATGTTGGGAGAACCACTGTAAATTCAATTATTCAAACATTTCGTCGGGAGAACAGGTGTGAATAAATGGACAGTAATTCAGCACTAAACAATCTGCACTGCACTACTGTCATTGTCATACATGAAGCTTGCAGTGGGACAAGAACTTGTCACTGAACATTTTACATTTAGACGTAAAGCTTTACTGCATCACACATTTAGTGTATTGTAGTGTTACAGTAA